CCCCCACAGAGCAGGGGTGTGTGTGTATGTGTGTATGTGTGTATGTGTGCATGTGTGTACACACGTCAGTGCTGGGCTTTGTAGGGCACCAGTATTAGTAAGGATGGCCCTGTCTCCATATCTTCAATTCTATTTTAGTCTCGCTACTTCTATTAAAGCAAACATGAGCATATCTACCCAAGCGGCAGTCACGCTTCCAGTTGCCTTGTAGACATTCACCTTAGGTCCTCATTTACCTGGTCTTTGGCTTCTATCAGTCCTCAGGTGATATTGTATAAAAGTGGAATAAACATTATGCATCACAGCTGAATATTTTACTCCTTATTATAAGAACTTGTTAGAGCCATGGTGTCCTAGATGCACCCACATCAGGCTGTTAGGCCTGTTGAGTGTGGCTAGTTCGCTATTGCAGTAGCAACTTGTATTGGGTACTGCTTCAGAAGTGGTTGGACATTTCTGTGCTAGAAGATTTCTGAAATCATCATAATATTTAGACAGCAGTGAGTGATTTTTGCCTGTTTAAGTTTTGACTTAATTATGTAGTACCACAACTGTGATAGGTGCTATGTAAATTAATATAAAGACAGGGTCTCTTCCTGTAAGTGCTTGCATTAGATATCTGCATTACTTATATTAAAAATACTTAATTAAAACTGGGAAATAGTTATTTAAAAACCTATTTTTTGCTTTAAATATTAGTAAAATTATTTTTGAAAAACCTAATATTTAAATTGCACTCTTATTTGGAAGTTAGGTAATGAGTCACTCTTTAGTTTTGCTTTTAATAATGATATTGAAATGTCAAGAAGAAAACTTGATTTTGTTTAAGGCTTTGAACAGATATGTTTTTTAAAAAGGTGGTCTACAGATAATAAGATAGAAGAGCATTTGTGGATAGGTTATATATTTTAAAAAAATACATAAACCAATTTTCACCTTGACTCCTATTCCTGGATGTTGTATTCCTCCTCTTCCCATAATCCTCTGTACTTAATCTGTTTTTTTTTTCTTTCATATTTTGGACAATTATGTTTGGAAAACACCTACACTCTGAGATTGGTGCTACTACAATTTCAGTTATCGCCTGACTAATGTTAATTTGACCCCCTAGCAGTATGCATTATGATACAGTCTTGAATTACATGATCGCATACTTTTTTTTTTTTCCCTGTGGGATCCTTGTTTCATTTTGTGCTCAAGATGAACCGTGCTTGTTGACTGTTATCTATTCACAAGTTTTTATCCTTATCATTCAGTGAGTGTCGCCTTTGCCTTGTTTACCATAGTATCTAAACTAAAGATGCTAAAGACTTGTCGACTAGTTGATTTCCCCCTCCCCTTGCTGCCTCTAATAGAGGCAGCAAAGGGGGAAAAGGAGAGGGAATACTTCGCTGAAATGCTGCTCTGAGCCCGGGATCAGAGGGGGAGTCCCACATGATTTGGCTCCATGTGGCATTTCAAATCAGCACTGGGGACTCTTGTACATTTCAAAGCTGGCATGCTTGTGTGCAGCCTGGAGTCAGTGGGACTTCTTGTTGGCCCCAGGCTGCATGCAGTATTCCTCATTGCTCCTTTGAAATGTACAAGAGCCCCCAATTGGGGTTCTTGTACATTTCAAAGGAGGACTGCAGAAGTGCCTATCAACTACTCAACTAGTAAATTAACCACAATTTAACATCCTTAATCTAAACCTTGCACTGAGTATGCAATTATTAATACCTCATGGATTTTCTGTTACACTTGTCACTGTAGTATGGTTGCTTCACAGCTATGAATTCATTGGTCTTCATGACATCTCTGTGAGGGAAGAAGCGGGGATTTTTATTTGTGTTCTATACATGTAGAACAGAAGCAAAAATTGTCAAATGTTATGTATGTTTGGGTGCCCAGCAATTCATTATGCAACCCCATTGGGTCTTGTATCAGTTCTGTCTTCCACTTCTCCCGTCTACTGCTCTTGGAGGTTCATGATTCTCTGCCCGGAGTGAGGACAGTTCCAGGGGCTCTTACAGGACTGGAATAGGAGTTGTAGGGATAGAGAGGAAGGGGGATGAACAGAGGGCAGATTGACGTAGTCCTTCACAGTTGGTAGGAAGGGAAGCAGAACATTGGTACACTGCTGGGCGGTGTTTTCTTCCCTCTTGTGAGAATAGTGTCAACAGCTCCCTCTGCTTTCTCTCTACTCAGATCTGTCTGCCTCCCTAAATCTGTTTCCTAAGAGATAGGTAGGCAAAAAGGGGAGAGGGGGCAAAGACGGGAGCCTTGCACCAGGCAGAGTTGAAATTCAGAAGAATAGAGCTTTGAGAGTGATTCATCCCCCAGCCAAAATCGTGTTCCTTATGAGGAAATTGCAGGTGTTGATGACACTGGGATATTTAACATTTTACAACTCTTTAAAAAAGTTCATAACATAGGTCCTATTGACTTATTTTACATTTATTAATGCTTAGCACTGCTACAAATTAGACCCAGGGTCCCAAGTTGGGCACCCAGAAGATGAGGAACATAAGGTTACTGATTATCTGTGACAAACTTATTTAAATGATTTCTTCAGAGTCACATAGGAACTCTATGGCAGAGTAAGGATTGAATCTAGTTCTCCAGGTTGGCCATCAGCTGTCTTCACCATGAGATGCTTCTTTCACTTTCTACCATCCCTTGCCTTGTTCATTACACATCTTCCAAATTCAGCAACAAATGTGTCAATGATACTACAGAAAAAAGCCTCCTTCGTTGTTCATTCTTGCTTCAATTCCCATGCACGAAACAAAAAAGGCAAAGGTTGTGCAAGGAAAAGAAGTATGATTATCATGGAATTAAATAATGTATGCAGAAGGGGGCAGAATTAACAAGAGCACAAACAAATTTTACAATGATATTTTTAAAAAATTGCCTATTAAGGTTATGTAATGACTGTCTCAACATAGACAGGGTAGGGTGGTATTTCAGCACATAAAGTTCAAACTTACCTCCTTTTGTCTTTCTTGCCAAGCACAGACCCAATGCAATAGCAGTGCCTTGGTGCACATCTAATCATGCACTTTCCTGGTAACACCATACCCTCCATGGCTGAGTGCTGGAGCCTGCCTGTAAGGCAAGTCCTGTTTTTATTTTCCCCAGTAGTGCATGTGTAAATCTCTATCCATTAAGATACAAGATATTAGCTTGAAAAGTAACCTCTTTGTTCTTTAGGAGGTTTTTCAGCACAAATATTGCTTTCTTTTCTAATATAGGCAGGCTCCATCAGTAGGGGTATTGGCAACTGTGAGTAAAATGGATATTGGGGTACCTAACCGAACGGAAGCTGGTAATCATGAGTCTGCGGGAGTGTTTCATTTCTTCTTCAGGTCTGCTAATTTAAAGTTTAGCTGTTGGGGGTGTTTACCCCCTTAGCATTGGGACTGTCTCAGCAGTTACTATCCCCATGCGTCGTCCCCTCCATCAGGTCTCTGTGGCCCTCTACGAGGGTCTCTGAGGCCTAACTCCAAAGTACGTGTCCCTCTATTAGGCATATATGGGCCTTGAGGCCAAGTCACCGGGAAGCCTCTCCTGGCCAGGGGGTGATGAGTCCAGGGAAGGAAAAAGGGTGGTAGGGGGACCCGGGCCCTCTCTCTCCACCGGGTCCCCGCCCAGGGCCCTATAGGCAGAGACAATCGCTCCTGCCTGCTTGGTGGGGATTCCTTGCTGTGAGCTGCTTCCTACCATGCCCTGGCACCTCTTTGGTCTACTTGCTCAAGGACTGGACTTGGGATTGTGGCTGCTGACATTGCTCCTGGGACAGCTGTGGGCTGCAGCTCCGGCTGCGGCAGTGGCTGTGGCTGCTGGCCCCTCTGCGACTGCGAGGGTGGAGTCAGCTGTTGCAGGAATACTGAGGTAGGTGCTGACGGACCTCCTCTTTCCCCCGCTGCCTTTTCTAACTGCAGGGCTCCCTCCACTTTTATGCTCTGGCTCTGCTGGGAGCATACCCAGCAGGGCTGGATGGATGGAGCCTTCTCAGCCAGCTGGGCCTGGGCTACTCTCTGCCCTCCAGTGCAGGGCGCCTCTGCCCCGTCACATTAGCAAATATTAAAAAATGCCAAAATGTCTGAGTAATTCGAAAACAAGACTTTATTTGCTAACATTTTTCAAACATTATTTGTAGATCACCTTTTAAGCTAACGAGAAGATCATAAATTCAGTGGAGTTTTTTTGGTTTTTTAAATAGGGGTTTATTGTGATTATTGAACCTGATTGCCTACATAACACAAGTCCTTAAAATATTACTCAGTAATTCCTGCATCAAGTTTAGTAACTGGGGTTGAAATAGAATGTATTTTTTTTTCAGATCATCTGCTTTTAAAAATTTTTGAATAATGAACCTGCTTTTAAAAATATAAATCTTTTTGCTTGGTACCTGTGTGTACTTTGATTCTTTATTTTTAATGGTGCTACTTTAAATGTGTGTAGTTGAAACTCATTTAATATAACAAAATTGGACACTGTGAATGGAATTCAAAATATTTTATCAAAAGGATACTGTTAATTTTATTTTTATATAATGTTTTATTGGCTGCATCTACTCCTGAAACTCAATAATTCTAAGTATAATGATCAAATTGGCCACTGTCAGAAAATTGTCCCATACATTCTTTGGCACAATTCCATATTTTTTTCAAGTGGCAGCTTCTAAAAGACATAAAATTTACGAGTCTGATTTCATCCCTATACGTAGCTTTTTTGGGGGAGGGGTGATTCAGCTGTTATATCTTATTCCAGGGTGTTCATTGTAACAGGTTTCATTCTTGTCGATTTTGAGGAAGTACTGTCCAGGAAATGCCTAAAGCAGGGCTACTCAACTGTGGAAGCCCCCCCGCCAGTGATACTCACAGCACATGCCTAAGGCCGCAACTTAAGTGTGGTTGCATATACGTGCAAATATATATGCAAATAGTTTCTTTCACATGAATACAAAGCGCTTTCCACAATGACCCAGTGCTCCTGGCACCACCTTCCTGGGGGCTAGAAACACTTAACACCTTGTACCCGCCTGTTTCAGCCAGCCTGTCCACTTGCATCTTTCAATGCTCACCCAACCTGGGAGACACCTCACCATTGTGGAGATTGTTCCCAGTGGAGGCCATGTTCAAAGGATCCTACCTGCACGTGTTGAGCCCTGTGTAAACCCAAACCGCACTGCAGGCCACAAACAAACGGGCTGCAGGCCGCATGTTGAGTAGCCTTGGCCTAACGTGTCCTAGCTCGTGGTAAATGCCAACAGAGAATTGTGTGAATCCAGGGTCTAGTGGGATTGTGTATCCAAGAGTAGATCCTTTTAAGAATTGTGAACAATAGTTTGGTTGTCACTGCCAAAGAAGTTACAGAACTCTTACCTTAGAGAAATTGTCCCTGATGTGATTTTTTTTTTAATTAGCCCTAGCTTCTCATATCTTTTCTTAATATCTTATTTGAACAAAAGACAAAGGACAAATTATTTGGTTAAAAAGGTAGGTTTGTATGTACACCCTTGCTTTTTATACTCCCTCACTTACGATCCTATGGAATTACCTAGGGAGCTTGGTAACTTTGATGCTGCTACAGAGAGCTTCCAGAAGGCTTTGTTGCTAAATCAAAATCATGTTCAGACAATACAGCTCAGGGGAATGATGCTTTACCATCACGGTAGCCTAGATGAAGCACTGAAGAATTTTAAGGTAAGCACAGGTATACCTCTAAAGATCTATACTAAATTAAGGATTGATATTTTTAATTAGACTTAATATCAAATTACACTTAAAATGAAATACAAGAATGTTATGTTTCACATTCTGAACGTGAATGAAAATCTGAATTGAAAATAAAATGCATATCCATATGTAATTTTGTAAGCACGGTTTATTATCTTACAATTAATGAATGATGGACCAGTTCAGGCAGAGGAGGGAACTGAGACATTTTCCTCCAGATTCACAAATTTTTAATACTAGACTCTAACTGGTGTTTTATAAAGCTTTGAAATGCTCACATTTTGGTTAGAAGTGGAACCCCAGTGTTTTGGCTGTTCACATAAGGCAAGTAGCCAGTTCTGTAATCTCAAGACTTAGACATGAATCTGAACTTTGGAGTGCTTATTTGAATCTTTTGAGTTTTTTCCATCATGAACAATAACAGCTAACAGTTGTGTACAGTGATCCATCTGACATGAGGTAGATAAATTGTATTCTAATTTGGCAGATCTAGAAGCTAAAGCTCAGATGGTTAATGACTTGCCCAAAGATATGCAGTGAGTCATTGGCAAAGCAAGGAACAGGGCTAAGTCTAAGAAGCCCTACATCCCTATTTTAACAAGCACACTTTACTTTTGCCTATTTAGAACATGATATGTCTTTATGTAAATTACCATGTGTCTCTGTTTTGTGACTCTCTTTGTAGATCTTTTTGTATTTAAAAAAAACAGCTGACATTTAAATAGCAAGTGCTTTATGAAGAGCTGCAGATAATCCATGAATATTTTATAGATCTATATAGTGAGAATTTTGTTTTGGGGTACCAAATTCTAAAATAGTCAGTTGTCTGGCATTATACTAAAACTAACATGATGTAGGGTGGAATTGATCGTAAGGCAATAGTACTGCAGTCTGTGAATTTCAGAGCTATGATGCTTGGTGGAATAGGAGAACTGATGGTGGATACATTTTATAAAGTTGCATTTTAAGAAAAATGTCTCCTACTTTTAGGGTCTGTTTACACTAAGACATGTTTTATGACACTGTGTAGCCTCTCTCATCTGATGTTGAAAACTACTTAGCTACAAGTATAGTGTATGATCAAGAACAAGTTTCACCACCACTGTTACATTTTGTATAATGACACTGAAAATATTTTTACCATCTTAAAAACAATTTACTTGCTAGCTAACATCAGTTGAAGGAAAGTCACAGGGAAAACAGTTACTGATAACTTTTGAAAGAAAAAAAGACCATTCCTTAGTACTTGTATCAGACTGTTTCAAGATACCTATGTAAATTTTTTATTTACTGAATTGCTTATTTCTTTACTCTTCTAGAGATGTCTTCAGCTAGAGCCATATAATGAAGTATGCCAGTATATGAAAGGTCTCAGTCATGTTGCAATGGGACAATTTTATGAAGGCATAAAAGCTCAAACTAAGGTTATGTTAAACGATCCACTACCAGGCCAGAAGGCTAGTCCAGAGTACCTAAAAGTGAAATACCTCAGAGGTAAGTCACAACAGGGAAGAGAGGGGAGAATTCTTTGACATAGGACTAAAATTGTCTGTGTTTGACTGCTGTGTTGAGTGAGCTGTCTTCATAGTCATCTTGGCGCTTGTTTGATCAGAATTAAAAGCCAGGACCAGAACTCAGACTTGGATCTTGATTTAGTAGTAAAAGTAACTATGATACCACTTGCTTGGCCTAGATTTTTAACAGTTTAGCTAACTTCAAGTTTAATATTGGTTAATAAAATCTTAAATAACTAACTCCTATATAATCCTGTTTTAAATTCTTGTTTGCGATAAATAATGATTGGCTGAATTTGTATTTTTATTTTCCTCAGAATATTCTCGATATTTGCATGCCCATCTTGATACTCCTCTTGTAGAGTATAATGTAGATACAGATCTTCCTGGAAACTTTAAGGACCATTGGGCCAAAAACCTTCCCTTTCTAATAGAAGACTATGAAGAACAGCCAGGATTGCAGCCACACATAAAGTGAGTGGTTTTTAGACAGACTGTTTAGAGCATTCCTGGTAGGATTTTGTTTTTGTTTTTCAAAAAATGGCACCTGAGGGTTAATTTATCACAAATGTTGAAAACTGCCTGTAGCCCACAGAAAATGTAGGGCACTTTTCAAATGTATAGGGCCTACAAATGATTTATTTAGCTCAGTAATGAAGAGGTAGCATCACAACTTGGTCAAAATCATTTTCTGTAGTCCTGCCACATGTTCCATGCAGTTCAGTAAAGATAATTCAGGTTATACAGCCATGTTAGCTATTTTGGTTTTAAAATTTGTCTTGAGCTGGATTAGTAATTTATTATAGATTCATGTTAGTTCTAAAGAAATTCAGGATAGACTTCCATCTGGATATCCATCCATAGTGTAGAAACCTCAAAATGGAGTTTCCTTATTGTTGCATGTTTAAGTATGGACTTAACCCTGTATCACTTATGTATGCAAAACATCTACTGATTGCAGTGGAGATTTTTGAGAAGGAATTACAAAATCAGACCACTAGTCTGTGGTGTTCTTCATGTTTTCTTCCATGCTCTGATTCCTATTAATTTCAGGATTAATATGCACTGAAGAAATGTCTCACTACAAAGCGTCACAATTTATTTAATATCTGCTGGAAATCACTAATTCTATTATTAAAATCTACTGATGAAATACATTCATTTCAACAGGGATAGTCTTTTACTACTGATTTCATTGGGGTCAGAATTTCACTTTGAATTTTGTGTGTGTGCATATCTACAACGTATGAGAGTGGGAGGTTTTTTGGTACCACGTTTCATTCTTTTCTGGGCTTGTGTTACTGATGACTATGAATACAGATTGTTCTTATACTGTTTTAAGGAGTCGTCATGGCAGATGATTGATTTTTTTTGTAACATTTTTCCTTCAAGGGATGTGCTATTTCATAATTTTGAAAGCTATAAACCTGAGGTACAAGAACTTGTATGTGTGGCTGATCGTCTGGGTTCACTGATACAATACGAGACACCAGGATTTCTTCCAAATAAGAGAATACACAGAGGTATGGGGAGCACACTCCACCTAGGAATGGAAATGAAAAATGTTCATGCTCGCTTTGATAGCACTTTGAGCTAATTAACCTGGGGTTGGTCTACACTGGGTACGTACTTTGCAAAATTCACATCCCTGAATGACATAGCTTTGTGAGCTAACCCCTGGTGCTGAAAACACTAAGTTGATGAAGAATTTCTTTGTAAACCCAACTTCCACCTGTATGGGATGTAAATTACCTATTGTGATGCAACTGTAGCATCACTTTCAAATGATATGCAGTTATAAACTTTTTTCTTTGCATTTATATTCATCTTAAATTTAGTAACCAATAATGTGTAGATGTAAAATTTACAAATAACCACATTTTGTATATTAATAAATATTTTTCTGAGGCATCTTGGTCTAGTACTGGACTGAAAACTATGAATTACTGACTCTTAATACCGTATTGACACTTACTGCTTCTATTTCCTTGAACAGGTCATTAACCTGGCTGCTTCAGTTCCCCCCTGTAAAATGGAGAGTCTGAGTGGACTAACTGGTTCTATATATTCTTTGTTGTTCAGCAATGGGGCTGGCTGCATTGGAAGTAATGCAAGCTGTGCAACGGACCTGGACAAACTCAAAAGTTCGAATGAATGGGAAAACCAGATTGATGCAGTGGAGAGACATGTTTGACATTGCTGTGAAGTGGCGAAGGTAATGATGAAGAGAAGAGTGGTACTAAGCCTTACTTTGTGATATCAATGCAAGTTCCTGTTAGTGAAATGTAAGAGACTGAAAAACTGCAACATTTGTAAAAGATGTGAAGGCAGGTCTCTTCAGAATCTTAGCCCCTATTGCTTTAACAGCTGCTCCACCGTGTGTGTTTGCAGGGATTTTTCATAAAAAGATGTTTAACAACTCCTCATCCCAAGGAGGAGTATTCTTGCAAGTTAAGGTCTCTTTACTCTATGCTTGGCAGAGATTAGAGGCACTGCACTTTTTCACAAGGCAGACTTGAAGAGGCCTTGTGTTAGTAAAATGCAAGTCAATTAAAAAAAATCGCTGGTTGGCAGTGTACATAGACTACACACCCCAGCTTCCAACATAAAGTTGCTAGCAAGATAGTAGACGCTAAATCCCTAGCAGTCATTGCCTATCCTTTTTCTGATGTTTTGATGTCTGTGAATGATGAGCACTCTGTGTTGATTCTGTCAAGGAGAGGAGAACACTCTTGGTGGTAATGTATAAGTTGATCCTTCTATGCATGCACTTAGAGCTAGAGCAGATTGCTGGAAGCTGTTTCTCTTTGCAAAATTGATGCAAGCCTCCTCTGACTCAGAGGAAGGCTATTGCCTAGCCTCAAACAACTGGTAAGTCTCAGTTGCTTGGGCCACATCTACTCAAAGGTCCCATTTGTCTGCCAGTATTCAGGCATTGATGTCCTCTGGTGGCCAGGGAAGAACATGGCTTTAGGGATGAACAAAGCACAGATCACCATACCTGGTGCCTAGTGAGTTGAGGCACAAATTTTGTCATGCGTCTGATTTGTGTTGGGTGCTGTCTGAGTCAGAAGTCTGCTAAAGACCCTTCTGTTACCCTGGTACTGACCATTAAGAGAGCAGAAGTTGTACCCGCTAAATATGTGGATAGCACTTCTCTTGGTACCAACCTTATCACGGAGCACCTTGCTATGCAGTGTTGGCACTAAGTGTAATGGAAGCCTAGTACCTTCCTCTTCAGTCCTGCTTGAGTTGAAAGTATTCCTCAGTACCTGCCATCTTGCGACCAGGTCTCTTTGTACTAATACATACATGGTGTGAAATAGATATGTTGCTGGATTCACCTTTTCTTAAGAGGAATATCCAAACCACCAGTTCAGAGTTACCTGAATATCAGGTTGAGGTATTTCTGGTACTGACTTCTCCTTCAGAGGTAGGACACTCCCAGTAGAGTAGCCCTTTCTGTTGGAGGAAGTGTACTACTATTACTGAGCATTACTCCTCTCCTACCCATATCTTTCAACTCCCTGTGTAGCATTGTGGGAATTGGGAAGGCATTCTAAAGAAGATTCTATGAGAAGTAGCAGGAAGAGGCTTGGGACTCATAGGGGACATCTCATGAAACCCCACCATATGCTGTTCACACCACAATGTGTACTATGGCTTATGTGATAGCAATAAAAAGGCCATTGCAGCTTCATAACATGGAGTTTCCCAGGGAGTTCTAGATCACAAGAAAGGACTTACTATTTGAGGCCAACAGACTTTAGCTCTGGAATAGATGAGGCCCTCCACTCCTTTAAAGACCTAATGATAACTCTTTCTTTGTTTCTGATCCAAAAAAGATGGTAAACAAGTCACTTATTCACAGAGTTCCCCTCTGCCCAGTAACTGTTTAGCTGCATAATTGAGAATTTTATGAACTGCTTTCTTCCTCTTAGAAAAGCTGATACATATTTGTCAGAAAAAAAACAACATCTTTTTTTATGATTCCTGAATTCAAACTTTGCCAAAAGGTATTAATGCATGAACCAGCTTCTCAGAGCCATAGGTTGCATCAGTTGACAGCACAGGTTGGCAGCTATGTTTAAGATGGAACTTCAGAAATTTTTCCCAAGTGGTATTTTCTTGCTTTAAAATATAACATGTAATAAGACTTCTTTTGCTGCCCCAATTTTAACAGGGTATTTCTTTGTAGGATAGCTGACCCAGATCAGCCCGTGCTTTGGTTAGATCAAATGCCAGCTCGAAGTCTTAGTAGAGGCTTTAATAACCACATTAATCTAATCAGGTAAGAAGTTTTTGACTAATCCTGTTAGTATTAGGAATTGTGCTAAAATATGTAGGCTGTCCATGATGTATTATAATTGACTGACAGTGTTTATTGTGTATGTACTATATAACATCTAACACTTTTATTTTTATTTTTATTTTTAATTCTAGGAGAGCTTTTGTTTATTTTACCACTCATTAAACCAAATAATCCCTCATTATTTTTTGTCCTTCCCATTTCCTCCCCCCCCCCCCTGAATCTTAATGTTTTATATTCTCCACAAAATAAAGATAAATAGGTCCCAAAAAAACCATTAGTTTCAAGTTTTTATTCCCTAATTAAAATACCTACTTCATATACTGAAAGTTAAACCCATAGTAGTTCTTCTGTTTTCAAGAAGGCAGTACTGCCAGCTGTAATGGCACAGTATGTACCAGGTAGTCTGTTTCTTACTTTGTAACCTTCGTCAATTAATAGTATTTAGAGACAGATCACGTGTCCCTCTCAATATTTCAGTATAGAAAGGTTAAAGGCATAGGTGTCAAAATAACTAAGAAGCTTAAAGGTAACTGCTGTTTCAGAAAAACCTTCTAACTTGAAAAATTCAAATAATTGTACATTCCGTGTTCTTTATATGATAAAACAAGATTCCGTATTAGGGATATTAGATGCCATGTAATTGAATAGTTGTGTAACAGCATCAAATTTTAGCAGTTACATGCCTATTCTATAGTCCCTGGGAGTGGGGCTGGCAGCCAGTGTGCTCCCAGTGCCACTCCCGTGGAGCCCCCTACCACCCCGCACTGTTGCCTCTCTATCAGAGGCAGCAGCATGGGGGTGGGGGTCAGGCTGCTCCATGGGATCTGGTGCTCATGGGAAGTATGCCTCATGGGTACTGGCTTCCACCTCTCCCCTATCCCTCCACTTGCTGCCTCTGATACTAATGCAGCAAAGGGGGCGGGGAGGAATGTGTGTAGTTAACAGGATTAACTGATAAACCCAGGCTTATTGGTTAATTGTGTTGTCGTCTATATTCTGTATAGCAAGCATTACAGCTCCACCTACTATGAAGCAATGGAAAAAGGAGAGCTGCATGTGGCAAAATCACTGTCAATCATGGATGGAGAGTATGTGTGCACACAAATAGCAAGGAATCAGAGTCCTTCTTTATTCCTTCTTTTATTTCTAAACTTAGTCTTTCAATGTTTCTCTAAAAGAAAAAAATGAGGTGAAAAAGATCTTTCTAAAATATTTTACAGAAAGAATTACTGATTTTTAAAGCTCCAAGTGCACAGGGTATTTTAGAATCATAGAATACTAGAACTGGAAGAGACTTTGAGAGGTCATCAAGTCCAGTCTCCTGCCCTAAAGACAGGACTAAGCACCAACATCATCCCTGATAAACATCTGTCTAACCTGTTCTTAAATATCTCCAATTATGGAGATTCCACAACCTCCCTAGGCAATTTTTTCTAATGTTGAACCACCCTGACATTTAGAAAGTTTTGTTTTTTTTCCAATGTCCAACCTAAATTCCCCTTGCTGCAATTTAAGCCCATTGCTTCTTGTCTTGTCATTGGAGGTCAAAGAGAACAGTTTATTTTCCTCCTCCTTGTAACACCCTTTTAGGTACTTGAAAACTGCTATCGTGTCCCCTCTGAGTCTTCTCATTTCCAAACCCAAACTAACCCAGTTCTTTCAAACTTCCTTGCTAGGTCATGTTCTCTAGACCTTAAATCGTTTTTGTTAAATTTTTCTGGACTCAAATGCACAATCCCAACTGGAACAGTAACTGAAATCACCTGAAACAGGGGGGGAAAACCCACAAACAGTCAAGCAAAATCATTCACCTCAAATCTAGTTACTCTCACCTTGTTCATTCAACGGGGGGAACTCTTCCGCTCCCCTTCAAACTTCTCTGTCTGCAGCCCCCTGTACTCTTCATGGTTAGTGTTTTTTTTCTCTGTCTCTGTCTCTGTCTCTGTCTCTCGGCAACTCCTACCATTTCACAGAATGGAGCCCAGCAGCCTGACATTTTTCTGGGGTATGTAAGTTTAGGTTTGGCTGAAGCTCTGATGTAGCTCAGCAATTGCTTGTAGGAACAACTACATTTTCTGTTTTCACATCTTTAGGGACAATGTTGTGCTCAGACTTCTGCATTCATCCTTTCAAATTCTGCATACTGGAACTCAGTATTCTCTTGAGTTTTGCTTTATATCCTCCTCTCGCATCAAAGATGCAACAGAATCCAAACACTTTTCATTGTTCAAGTTTAGAGGGCAACTCCTGCCTCGCTCCATAACTCATTAGCTGTTTTTGCCCTAATATGGAAGATGGGGGGGTGAAATGGAACATGAACCTCCAGCGTCTTTTGGTTGTGTCATCGGCAGAATGAGACCTCTAAGGAATGCCCTATTCTTGTGAGGGTTATTGATAGTGAGTACCTACTTTGCAAAGAGTGCCTACTAAATGTTTCTTATGCTTTTATCTCATCAGATAACACTAGCAATTCTCTAGTTTGATGTCCCAATGAGCCTAGTGATTCTAGGCTATCTGTAGTACTGAAATGGGCTACTGGATCTTCATAAAGTGCAGGACCAGACTGAATCAGTTTCTGGCCTTTTCTTTTGGCCTGGCCTGTGATCCTTGGGTCTGTATCATGGCTTGAATAATACTGATAGTGGTTTTTTGATAGAAAGATTGATTAATAACTCAACCTAATTACGGTTTGCAAGGGCCTAAATCTTCCCGGACTAGCGAACCTTCATGCTTCCCCATCACGAGTTTTGACTGTGTCGCCTTTCTGAGTACAGGAGCATACTTTCTCCTTTGCACGCTACTGGATTTGTTCCTGAAAATAACCATTTAATCTGGGATTGAATTAATTGATTAAACTAAATAATCGACGAGTCAATGGAATTCCCTAATCGACTAGTCAATAAGCAAGGGAGCCCCGGGACCTAACCCCGTTGTGGCTCTGCCTTTTAAATATATTAAGAGCCAGCAGAGAAATCTTTTAAGCCAGTTCCCCCCCAGCATCGGCTCCTGCTCTTGCCCCATCCCTCCTTTCCTTCCCCCCCCCCCCCTCATTCCAGGAGGCAAGAGAAGAATTTCTTTGTAAACCCAACTTCCACCTGTATGGGATGTAAATTACCTATTGTGATGCAACTGTAGCATCACTTTCAAATGATATGCAGTTATAAACTTTTTTCTTTGCATTTATATTCATCTTAAATTTAGTAACCAATAATGTGTAGATGTAAAATTTACAAATAACCACATTTTGTATATTAATAAATATTTTTCTGAGGCATCTTGGTCTAGTACTGGACTGAAAACTATGAATTACTGACTCTTAATACCGTATTGACACTTACTGCTTCTATTTCCTTGAACAGGTCATTAACCTGGCTGCTTCAGTTCCCCCCTGTAAAATGGAGAGTCTGAGTGGACTAACTGGTTCTATATATTCTTTGTTGTTCAGCAATGGGGCTGGCTGCATTGGAAGTAATGCAAGCTGTGCAACGGACCTGGACAAACTCAAAAGTTCGAATGAATGGGAAAACCAGATTGATGCAGTGGAGAGACATGTTTGACATTGCTGTGAAGTGGCGAAGGTAATGATGAAGAGAAGAGTGGTACTAAGCCTTACTTTGTGATATCAATGCAAGTTCCTGTTAGTGAAATGTAAGAGACTGAAAAACTGCAACATTTGTAAAAGATGTGAAGGCAGGTCTCTTCAGAATCTTAGCCCCTATTGCTTTAACAGCTGCTCCACCGTGTGTGTTTGCAGGGATTTTTCATAAAAAGATGTTTAACAACTCCTCATCCCAAGGAGGAGTATTCTTGCAAGTTAAGGTCTCTTTACTCTATGCTTGGCAGAGATTAGAGGCACTGCACTTTTTCACAAGGCAGACTTGAAGAGGCCTTGTGTTAGTAAAATGCAAGTCAATTAAAAAAAATCGCTGGTTGGCAGTGTACATAGACTACACACCCCAGCTTCCAACATAAAGTTGCTAGCAAGATAGTAGACGCTAAATCCCTAGCAGTCATTGCCTATCCTTTTTCTGATGTTTTGATGTCTGTGAATGATGAGCACTCTGTGTTGATTCTGTCAAGGAGAGGAGAACACTCTTGGTGGTAATGTATAAGTTGATCCTTCTATGCATGCACTTAGAGCTAGAGCAGATTGCTGGAAGCTGTTTCTCTTTGCAAAATTGATGCAAGCCTCCTCTGACTCAGAGGAAGGCTATTGCCTAGCCTCAAACAACTGGTAAGTCTCAGTTGCTTGGGCCACATCTACTCAAAGGTCCCATTTGTCTGCCAGTATTCAGGCATTGATGTCCTCTGGTGGCCAGGGAAGAACATGGCTTTAGGGATGAACAAAGCACAGATCACCATACCTGGTGCCTAGTGAGTTGAGGCACAAATTTTGTCATGCGTCTGATTTGTGTTGGGTGCTGTCTGAGTCAGAAGTCTGCTAAAGACCCTTCTGTTACCCTGGTACTGACCATTAAGAGAGCAGAAGTTGTACCCGCTAAATATGTGGATAGCACTTCTCTTGGTACCAACCTTATCACGGAGCACCTTGCTATGCAGTGTTGGCACTAAGTGTAATGGAAGCCTAGTACCTTCCTCTTCAGTCCTGCTTGAGTTGAAAGTATTCCTCAGTACCTGCCATCTTGCGACCAGGTCTCTTTGTACTAATACATACATGGTGTGAAATAGATATGTTGCTGGATTCACCTTTTCTTAAGAGGAATATCCAAACCACCAGTTCAGAGTTACCTGAATATCAGGTTGAGGTATTTCTGGTACTGACTTCTCCTTCAGAGGTAGGACACTCCCAGTAGAGTAGCCCTTTCTGTTGGAGGAAGTGTACTACTATTACTGAGCATTACTCCTCTCCTACCCATATCTTTCAACTCCCTGTGTAGCATTGTGGGAATTGGGAAGGCATTCTAAAGAAGATTCTATGAGAAGTAGCAGGAAGAGGCTTGGGACTCATAGGGGACATCTCATGAAACCCCACCATATGCTGTTCACACCACAATGTGTACTATGGCTTATGTGATAGCAATAAAAAGGCCATTGCAGCTTCATAACATGGAGTTTCCCAGGGAGTTCTAGATCACAAGAAAGGACTTACTATTTGAGGCCAACAGACTTTAGCTCTGGAATAGATGAGGCCCTCCACTCCTTTAAAGACCTAATGATAACTCTTTCTTTGTTTCTGATCCAAAAAAGATGGTAAACAAGTCACTTATTCACAGAGTTCCCCTCTGCCCAGTAACTGTTTAGCTGCATAATTGAGAATTTTATGAACTGCTTTCTTCCTCTTAGAAAAGCTGATACATATTTGTCAGAAAAAAAACAACATCTTTTTTTATGATTCCTGAATTCAAACTTTGCCAAAAGGTATTAATGCATGAACCAGCTTCTCAGAGCCATAGGTTGCATCAGTTGACAGCACAGGTTGGCAGCTATGTTTAAGATGGAACTTCAGAAATTTTTCCCAAGTGGTATTTTCTTGCTTTAAAATATAACATGTAATAAGACTTCTTTTGCTGCCCCAATTTTAACAGGGTATTTCTTTGTAGGATAGCTGACCCAGATCAGCCCGTGCTTTGGTTAGATCAAATGCCAGCTCGAAGTCTTAGTAGAGGCTTTAATAACCACATTAATCTAATCAGGTAAGAAGTTTTTGACTAATCCTGTTAGTATTAGGAATTGTGCTAAAATATGTAGGCTGTCCATGATGTATTATAATTGACTGACAGTGTTTATTGTGTATGTACTATATAACATCTAACACTTTTATTTTTATTTTTATTTTTAATTCTAGGAGAGCTTTTGTTTATTTTACCACTCATTAAACCAAATAATCCCTCATTATTTTTTGTCCTTCCCATTTCCCCCCCCCCCCCCTGAATCTTAATGTTTTATATTCTCCACAAAATAAAGATAAATAGGTCCCAAAAAAACCATTAGTTTCAAGTTTTTATTCCCTAATTAAAATACCTACTTCATATACTGAAAGTTAAACCCATAGTAGTTCTTCTGTTTTCAAGAAGGCAGTACTGCCAGCTGTAATGGCACAGTATGTACCAGGTAGTCTGTTTCTTACTTTGTAACCTTCGTCAATTAATAGTATTTAGAGACAGATCACGTGTCCCTCTCAATATTTCAGTATAGAAAGGTTAAAGGCATAGGTGTCAAAATAACTAAGAAGCTTAAAGGTAACTGCTGTTTCAGAAAAACCTTCTAACTTGAAAAATTCAAATAATTGTACATTCCGTGTTCTTTATATGATAAAACAAGATTCCGTATTAGGGATATTAGATGCCATGTAATTGAATAGTTGTGTAACAGCATCAAATTTTAGCAGTTACATGCCTATTCTATAGTCCCTGGGAGTGGGGCTGGCAGCCAGTGTGCCCCCAGCCCCACTCCCGTGGAGCCCCCTACCACCCCGCACTGTTGCCTCTCTATCAGAGGCAGCAGCATGGGGGTGGGGGTCAGGCTGCTCCATGGGATCTGGTGCTCATGGGAAGTATGCCTCATGGGTACTGGCTTCCACCTCTCCCCTATCCCTCCACTTGCTGCCTCTGATACTAATGCAGCAAAGGGGGCGGGGAGGAATGTGTGTAGTTAACAGGATTAACTGATAAACCCAGGCTTATTGGTTAATTGTGTTGTCGTCTATATTCTGTATAGCAAGCATTACAGCTCCACCTACTATGAAGCAATGGAAAAAGGAGAGCTGCATGTGGCAAAATCACTGTCAATCATGGATGGAGAGTATGTGTGCACACAAATAGCAAGGAATCAGAGTCCTTCTTTATTCCTTCTTTTATTTCTAAACTTAGTCTTTCAATGTTTCTCTAAAAGAAAAAAATGAGGTGAAAAAGATCTTTCTAAAATATTTTACAGAAAGAATTACTGATTTTTAAAGCTCCAAGTGCACAGGGTATTTTAGAATCATAGAATACTAGAACTGGAAGAGACTTTGAGAGGTCATCAAGTCCAGTCTCCTGCCCTAAAGACAGGACTAAGCACCAACATCATCCCTGATAAACATCTGTCTAACCTGTTCTTAAATATCTCCAATTATGGAGATTCCACAACCTCCCTAGGCAATTTTTTCTAATGTTGAACCACCCTGACATTTAGAAAGTTTTGTTTTTTTTCCAATGTCCAACCTAAATTCCCCTTGCTGCAATTTAAGCCCATTGCTTCTTGTCTTGTCATTGGAGGTCAAAGAGAACAGTTTATTTTCCTCCTCCTTGTAACACCCTTTTAGGTACTTGAAAACTGCTATCGTGTCCCCTCTGAGTCTTCTCATTTCCAAACCCAAACTAACCCAGTTCTTTCAAACTTCCTTGCTAGGTCATGTTCTCTAGACCTTAAATCGTTTTTGTTAAATTTTTCTGGACTCAAATGCACAATCCCAACTGGAACAGTAACTGAAATCACCTGAAACAGGGGGGGAAAACCCACAAACAGTCAAGCAAAATCATTCACCTCAAATCTAGTTACTCTCACCTTGTTCATTCAACGGGGGGAACTCTTCCGCTCCCCTTCAAACTTCTCTGTCTGCAGCCCCCTGTACTCTTCATGGTTAGTGTTTTTTTTCTCTGTCTCTGTCTCTGTCTCTGTCTCTGTCTCTGTCTCTGTCTCTGTCTCTGTCTCTCGGCAACTCCTACCATTTCACAGAATGGAGCCCAGCAGCCTGACATTTTTCTGGGGTATGTAAGTTTAGGTTTGGCTGAAGCTCTGATGTAGCTCAGCAATTGCTTGTAGGAACAACTACATTTTCTGTTTTCACATCTTTAGGGACAATGTTGTGCTCAGACTTCTGCATTCATCCTTTCAAATTCTGCATACTGGAACTCAGTATTCTCTTGAGTTTTGCTTTATATCCTCCTCTCGCATCAAAGATGCAACAGAATCCAAACACTTTTCATTGTTCAAGTTTAGAGGGCAACTCCTGCCTCGCTCCATAACTCATTAGCTGTTTTTGCCCTAATATGGAAGATGGGGGGGTGAAATGGAACATGAACCTCCAGCGTCTTTTGGTTGTGTCATCGGCAGAATGAGACCTCTAAGGAATGCCCTATTCTTGTGAGGGTTATTGATAGTGAGTACCTACTTTGCAAAGAGTGCCTACTAAATGTTTCTTATGCTTTTATCTCATCAGATAACACTAGCAATTCTCTAGTTTGATGTCCCAATGAGCCTAGTGATTCTAGGCTATCTGTAGTACTGAAATGGGCTACTGGATCTTCATAAAGTGCAGGACCAGACTGAATCAGTTTCTGGCCTTTTCTTTTGGCCTGGCCTGTGATCCTTGGGTCTGTATCATGGCTTGAATAATACTGATAGTGGTTTTTTGATAGAAAGATTGATTAATAACTCAACCTAATTACGGTTTGCAAGGGCCTAAATCTTCCCGGACTAGCGAACCTTCATGCTTCCCCATCACGAGTTTTGACTGTGTCGCCTTTCTGAGTACAGGAGCATACTTTCTCCTTTGCACGCTACTGGATTTGTTCCTGAAAATAACCATTTAATCTGGGATTGAATTAATTGATTAAACTAAATAATCGACGAGTCAATGGAATTCCCTAATCGACTAGTCAATAAGCAAGGGAGCCCCGGGACCTAACCCCGTTGTGGCTCTGCCTTTTAAATATATTAAGAGCCAGCAGAGAAATCTTTTAAGCCAGTTCCCCCCCAGCATCGGCTCCTGCTCTTGCCCCATCCCTCCTTTCCTTCCCCCGCTGCCTCTAATAGAGGCGGCAAGGGTGGGGGGGGGGAAGTGACTAGTTGAATATCCGATAAGATTATGCTTATTGGATAGTTGACCAGTTGTTTACATTCCTAGACTGAATGAGGCAGGAGATAGAGTGTAGTAGATAGCGATAGTCTTCTAAACTCTCTTCCATCAATTCATGCCATCAGCGAGAGATTTCACTTGTAGTAGATAGTGCAAGTTTGCACAAATAGCATAATCCCTTCTTGTGTGCTTTAATCCGCCATGAAGTAGTTTTGCAATACTGGTAATTCATATATCATAATGAGGCTTCAGAATGAAAACCTTATTGAGACTAATGGGCTCACTTCATACTAAGGATGTTAAATTGCGATTAATCGACTAGTCGATGGAATTTCCATCAACTACTTGACTAGTTGATAGGCACTTCACAGTCCTCCTTTAAAATGTACAAGAGCCCCAGCAGGGCTTCCCACTGGGGCTCTTGTACATTTCAGAGGAGGAATGCGGAACTCCGTGTGCAGCCCAGAGCCAGTGAGAAGTCCTACTGACTCTGGGCTGCATGCAGGCGTGCCTGTTTTGAAATGTACAAGAATCCCCAGCAGGGGCTTCTGTGCATTTCAAAGCTACAGCGCCCTCATGAAGGCCAAGGTCACATTTATGAAAGATCAGATCAGAAGGTGTTTAGCCTAGTGTCATAGAACCACTTTGGCTTCTACTGTCACCTGTTGTTTTTTAACACAAATTATCCTTTGTTAGGTCCTTGCTAACAACACTTTCTTTGTATGGGATTTCTTTATGCAGGTCCCAGTTCCATTCAACAATTCTTATTTGAGTTTGGCATCTTGGAGAATGCTAAATGATGGTGTCTGTGTTGGATTTTTTCTGTGTAGAGGCTTAAACATCTGGAGAATAGCTGAAAACTTTCCATGGTAGTCATATAGTCATCACTCTAATTTGAAACACTTTGTTTGGGAGCACTCACAAGTGTTTCCAAAGTCTTTTTGACTTGATTTTTGTACGTTTCTGTAAGGTTCTAAAGCTTAGAGCTCTCTGGTGCTGCTGTTCCTGCAGTTTTGAGTCAGTGTAAAAGTGCCTTTGGCGTGCCTCCATCCTGGTATAGGTGATAAGTTAATAAATCTTATGTTACTTTTTTGAAAGTCTAAACTTTTGTTTTCATGGGGCCAAACAAGAATTTGAGTTCTGTTCTGAGTGATTGAAGCTGTCTGCATTTCTCCAAATATAGGTTGAGGCATCCCCTGCTAATCTTTGGCATTCTGAAGAGATGGCAGTACCTATCAAATAGAGGGAATCGTAGAATACTAGAACTGGAAGGGACCTCAAGAGATCATCAAGTTGAGGAAAAACAAAACTTTTGAACCGCTATCTTTGTCTTTGCTTATTCATTACCACTTTTCCACGGCTTGTTCCAACATCCTTTTAGACTGACGTTATCTGAGTTCTCCAAGCTACTGCTCAAATAAATCCTATTCTTATTTTTTACTACTTTATACTTCTGCCTGTTGTACAGAAAGCTTTTGTGTAAGGTGGACTAAGATGGGATGTACAAGAAGAGCAAATCATATCAGCAATTGTTTATTATCTTTCCTCTTTCTCTTTCTTTTCTAACATGTGTACTTGAGAATTCTAATTCTGATCAATGTTTGTCCCCATTGAAGTACGTTAAAATCAGTACAACTATGTAGGAGTAAGGTGCAGCACAAAATGAATTAAAATGCCAGAATCAAGCCCTGAATAATTATAAAAAAGGGGATAGAGACTGGCTGAAGATGTATCTCTTGTGATTGACAGTGGTTTTAACCTCCTGGTATGTGTAGCTGTAACATTTGCGATATAAAATCTTGTTTTGTAGCTTGGAAATGATGAAGGATTCTTACAAATACAATAATGGTACATAATGTTCCTGTTCAAGGCATTATGTATTACTACAATTCTGACAGGCCTCTTTTGATACAATTCTGACAGGCCTCTTTTGAAAGTTTATAGGGTCATATCTAATGTTCAAAGAAAAAGGCACCAAGTCAGCTGTTTATAAATGTAGCTTGTAAACTGCCGATTAAATATTTAATTTCCTGGAAGAGCAGTAGAGTGCAGTATTTATATAGCAACTGGAAATTGAAATGTTCTTGAAAATGTCCTAGAGGTTGAAACATCTGTTCTTTCTACTTAGAAATGTGTCTTAAAGTTATTGCACTCTACTCATTCCTCCCCCTTTCTTTCTTTAAAATGTGAAAATTTGATATTTTGCAGTGTCCTTAAGATATTCCTCCTACTCTGAATCAGGATTCAATGAATCATCCCAGAAGACTTTTATTTTAAAAAAGACAATTTTATGTGTGGGATTTAGGAACACTTAATACAAGCACATTCGTAAGAAGAGAATACTTAAGTAGTTTGGAACAGACATCACAATCATATAACAGTGTTTTAAAATAAATCAGTTACAGTTAGTGTTATCAGTTCCTGCACTTATCTTCGCAAATAAACATACAAAGTTTTCTATCAGGGTAATTGGCTCTATACAAATATTTCCAAATCCAAATTGACAGTTGTGTTACTGTGGGTTTTTTTTTTCAATTGTACATAAGAACACTGGTAGTAATGGGGGGAGAACCCATGCAAAGTAGCTTGTTGAAAACCACCAAACCAGTAAGACTTGAGTGTCTACAAGTCCCTTAGGGTATGTCTACACCGCATTACTCTTTCGAGAGAGGAATGCAAATTCAGACGAATGAAATTGCGAATGAAACGCGGATTTGAATTTCCCGCACTTCATTTGCATAATTGCATCTGGGCGCTATTTTGAAAAAAGAAATGCTGTCTAGACGTGGTTATTTCAAAAGAAAACCTTTCTTTTGAATTAACCCTTAAACCTCATTTTTTAAGGAGTAAGGGTTATTTCAAAAGAAGGATTTTCTTTTGAAATAACCACGTCTAGACAGCATTTCTTTTTTCGAAATAGGGGATTTCGAAATACTGCCCGGACGCAATATTGCAAATGAAGCGCGGGAAATTCAAATCCACGCTTCATTTGCAATGTCATTGGTCTGCATTTGCATTCCTCTCTCGAAAGAGGAATGCACTGTAGACATATCCTTACTGTCTATCTTATGTATTCAGACAAACCTTTGATTAAGCTTCCATTACTATTTCAGACCCATTGTATAGAAATCACATATCATGCTTTTATGAACAACATATAAGCTGGTTTTAAAATGTCAAATAAAATAGTCCACTCTAAGCATTTTTATTTATCTTCTATCTACAGGGGACAAGTCATTAACATGAGATACCTGGAATATTTTGAAAAAATACTTCATTTTATTAAAGACAGGATCCTTGTTTATCATGGGTAATGGTTTATTTTAATTGTTCCTCACCCTACAATATCCATTTGAATGCATATTAATAGACCATTCCATAAAGTCTGGGGAAATATTTTCTTAGTTTCAGTACCAGCCATAACTATGCCCTCTTACACACTGGGAGAAGCCCACTAATTGCCATGTGAAAGAAAGGAGTCTTCTCTATTACATGTGATAAGAGTACCTGTATCCAAGCTTCTGACCTATGTCAGTCACAGGTGGACCTTAGCCCTGTCTTACAAGGGAAAGTGTGTTTTTGTTCAAAGTGATCCTGGAAAATATTGATTTATACCCCATATTACAGGAAATTAATTTTTCTGACCAATATTGTTGGTTAAGGTGTGCAGGGGGAAGTATCCACTGGTGTTTTATGACACAGAATATGTCATTGTTTCTGACTTTTCTCTCCAAGAGTGAAATCTCTTTCTTTAGGACAGGGATCTCAAAATTCATGGCCTGTAGGCCATTTATGGCCCTAGCAGTTTGACAATCCTGGTCCAGGAATTCCTGTGGCCCAAGATGTGTGTGTCCATACTTGTCTCCTAAGCCCCGCCCTTTCCCCCTCATTGAACCCTTCCCCCCAAATTCCCCCTCCTCCCGAGGGATACAGCCTTGGGAATTACCGGGGGGGCCTGGTGCGGGCAGCAGCAAGAGTTGGGCCCCATGCTCACTGCAGCAGCAGAAGCTGCAAGAAAGCAAAAGGGGTGCAATGTGGAGGGGAAAGGGCAGGAAGAGATGGGACTGGGGAATGGGAACTGACACACACTCCAGGCCACAGGGACTCCCGGGCTGGATTGTGAAACTGCTCAGGTCATAGATGACTCACGGCTGGGAGGGAGCATTAGAAGGGCTTTTCCTTCCTGATCCCTGGCTGTAGGGTTCCATAGCCATGCCACTTCCCTGAGCACTCCTCATCCCTGCTCCATTAATGCCAGTCCCTCTGCTGCCACGAGAGTGGAGCCCCATAGGCTGGTGGCATTGACCTCCCCAATCCTGTAAATTCCCTGATTCGGGACTGGTTAGATTCCAAGAATGCCAGACCAGGGATGTTTAGCTAATTATGTTGAAAATTTGAAAACTAATCAAAGATTTTCCAGAAGATTTCTGCTTCAGTCTCTCGAAGATAAGCAAACCTTAAGCAGATACAAATCATCTGAACACTTAGGAAGAAACCTAACTGTGAAAGGAGTTCAAGTTTGTGTTACCAAATCA